ATCAAGCTTTCTCTTAAGCTCACTTAAATTTACTGCCTCCACAGTTTAATACTAGATGTTCTTCCGCTGGGTCCCCGAAAGTGTTCTGTTTCAAAAGAAAATAAAACCAAAATTAAAAGTAACAAATATTTTTATTTCTATGTTGTAGCCTGCAGAGTGCATAATCCTTCTCGTAAGTCATGTCATGCGCACGTTTTACTAACGTCACGACAGTACAAATTGCAAAGGTAAGCTTCCCTTATCTGACGTCATTTTAGTGTCTACTGACTGATTGACAGACAACACACTACTGTATAATGGTGCGAGTGGTTAAAACTGACGAACCCTCCAGGCGACCTTCGGCTCCCTTACAGGGAAATAACATTGAACGTGTGACGTTATAGCTTCGAAGTGTTATAAATAACGGTTCATTGGAACTACGTACGTCACTGGCTTTTGACATCTAATGTTTATAAGGAAATATATACAGAGCATAATAAATATTAGTTTAAGTATTTCCTGGTAGGTGTCTGAGAAAATTGGATTTACTTTCTATGGTCATATTTTTGTACATGAAATATTAATTTCTGAAAATGAGCGTTGTTTTGAATATCTATTTGTTTCCTCCGTCACCGAAAGTCATGGAGGTTATGTTTTCACCCATGTATGTGCGTTTTTGGATGGTTAAGGTCACAGCAAAGGTCGCGAAAAAAAAATCCTTATCTGTTAACATAGAGACCGATTTTTCACACTATTTTTACTCTATAACTCAGTCAAAAATGATTGGATTTTGATGAAACTTATGTAAAATAAGTGGACTTATGTAGAATATTATTCCTCATTGTCCTACCAAAAATGATCCGTGTTCGTTGATAACGACGGACATACGGACACATTTTCGTATTTGTTTTTTCTTTGAGGGCCGAATATAATCAACGCTGCTCTACTGAATGCCACTCAAGCTAAAGAATGTACTTGTAAATTGTAAAATATCAGGCATATAAGATTATTAAACACATACTCTCTAATCCCATCTACGGTGTTTTATATAGTGGGTTTTGCCCATTTAGAGTTTCAATAACACACAGGACATTTTATCTTCTCACAGAAGTCGTAAGTAACTATTGATAAAAAGACTAACCTTAGAAACCGAACCATAACTTCACCTCATTTACGCTAGCTTCTTACAGTGAGTGTGACTGTAACTCCTCGTAAATTTCGAGCCTAGTTTAATTTTCTATCCAAGGACTCCACTTGGCTGAATATAGCAAGCTTACAATTAGCAAGGAAAAGATGAATAAGCGGTGGGGTGACAGACCCGAAAATTAATTCTGATTTAGCTTCACGCTTCTCTACCAGAAAATCAACGTGTTTATGAGAAGCTTAATTTTATTTGCAGTATTCTCGTGCTGATTCGATGCTTGGTAGTGTATGTTTGAAATATTGGCTGAAGCAGTTTAAAACTACAAAACAATGGGTATGTACGATAGTTTTCAAGTATCTGAAGCAGTTTAAAACTACAAAACAATGGGCACATACAATAGTTTTCAAGTGTATGTATTGTGACTCAGGGTTTTGATTAATATCATTACAAATGGAAAGAGTTATTATAAACGTACCTTTCGACCCATGAATGTCACTGTAGTGTTTTAAAGAAAGACTCCCCATGAATGTCACTGTAGTGTTTTAAAGAAAGACTCCCCATGAATGTCACTGTAGTGTTTTAAAGAAAGACTCTAACATTCTTTATAATTATTTAGAATCTAAGACTTTGACCTTTCAAATAAACCTTCTTAATTTGCACCAGAACTGTCTCTGCCAGCGCAATACTTATAGCAAAGCGATTTTTCCTGTAAGTGGATTTATAATGCTATGTTGATTATTTTCGGTTAAATACAATGTTACTGGATTCTCACTGCCTAACAAATTTCGTGACAACATGTAATAAAAAACGTACATTTTTCACATATAACTATAGAAATGTATATTTATATCATATATTCAAATTTTAAGCCTAAATAAACAACTAAGGAAACTGAGGTGTACACAAATAGCCCCCCAGTGGCACAGCGGTATCTCTGCGGACTTACAACGCTAGAAACTGAGTTTCGATACCCGTGGTGGGCAGAACACAGATAGCCCTTCTGTAGCTTTGTGCATTATTAAAAACAAACAAACAAAGTGTACACAAATAAATCAAATCGTTTATTTTATTCAGGAACACGTATTTTAGAATATATTTTTTTGTATTACTTGAAACAATAATATTGCCCGGCATGGCCAAGTGGTTAGGGCGCTCAACTCGCAATCTGCGGGTCGCGGGTTCGACTCCCCGTCACACCAAACATGCTCGCCCTTTCAGCCGTGGTGGTGTTATATAAGGTGACGGTCAATCCCACTATTCGTTGGTAAAAGAATAGCCCAAGTGTTGGCGGTGGGTGGTGATGACTAGCTGCCTTCCATATAGTCTTACACTGCTAAATTAGGGACGGCTAGCGCAGATAGCTCTCGTGTAGCTTTGCGCGAAATTCAAAACGAAACAAACAAACAATAATATTCGACCACATAGTAAATACAGAAAGTTTATTACGTTAAATTAAAAATGATTTTGAATTTTAAGCAAGATACACTATAATCAAACGCGAAATATGGTAGCGATGGAACGGAATGTATCATAACTATATTTTGGGATGTAGTATAATGCCACCAAAACATTTGTATGTTCAGATCATGAATATGTATTCAGCTTAGGGATTTAGACTCCGCTGGTTCAGCGGTGAGTCGAGACTTATAACACTAAAAATCTCATTTTGATAACCTTGGTGCGCAGAGAAAAAGTAGCTCATTGTGTTGCTATGCGGATATTAGATGCAAACAAATACTGAAATTATAGTTTTTTGAGAGAGGGATAACCTTTGTATTTAATTTCATTGGAAGACAAAAAGATATGAAATAACTTCGGTCACCAGGACCAATCAGTAAGTGACCTACAACTAGTCGTACTTCAGCCGTGGTAAGCAAAGCGCAGGTAATTGTGATGTAGATTACAAAGACGTAAAGGCTAATGATAAAAGCCATCCACGTGCCCTAGGCAAAAGTGCACAAGATAATAAAAAAGGATATCCATTTAGAAAACAGAAATAAGTCACGTGTACATAAGTTGCTTCCAAGAAGTATTCCTTCAACTGTCGCATACCTCAAGCAACTTGAAAATGAAACAGGTATTCATGCTAGTCAACACAAACACATTTCGCAGCTTCTATGTATTTCTGTGCGATCAGATTATTCAACTTGGCACTGGAAATCCGTTATATATCACACAGATTGAGGAAAACATCCAGGGAGTAATGGTGTGCTTTGTGCATGAAAAACCTTACGAAGGACATTTGAACTGGAAATTACGGTATAGGGCTATTTACAAGATGCACGGTTGGCAGAGAGAATGTGACTGAACATGGTGAATGGACTATAACAAGTTATAAGGTTTCAAAATCGTTTTACTATAACGACTCGATTTCTGTATTTCTTTTCGGTCATACTCCAGCAGGCTCTCTCTGGTAATGCTCTCTGAAATAGAGAGTAACTAGGCCTGATATGGCCTGATGGTTAAGGCGCTCGATTCACAATCTAAGGGTCGCGGGTTCTAATCCCTGCCACCGAAAATGCTCGCCCTTTAAGCCAT